GCACTTTGTGTGTGTGTGTGTGTGTGTGTGTGTGTGTGAGAGAGAGAGAGAGAGAGAGAGAGAGAGAGAGAGAGAGAGAGAGAGAGAGACAGGAGAGAGAGAGAGAGACTAAGGTATTCATTTGTTTTAATGGATTTCCTATAAGCATGAGTGAAATTTTTAGAAATTTAGTGCTGATGTTTAAATGACCAGAACACTGGAAGGATTTAGAAGAGTTTTGAAAGATACCTCTTGCAGTTATCCAGGGCATTTATGTCTGCCGCGGCCTGTAACAACAGTTCCACCATCTCCTCTTTGTTTTCTAGCACAGCGAGTATAAGAGGCGTGTAGCCATTCTGTGAAAACAAAAACAATTTACAATTCACTCAGAGGAAGGAGCCTCAGCTGAAGAAATACCTCCATGAGATCCAGCTGTAAGGCATTTTCTCAATTAGTGATCAATGCAGAAGGGCCCAGCCATGGTGAGTGGTGCCATCCCTGGGCTGCTGGTCCTTGGTTCTATAAGAAGGTGGGCTGAGGAAGCCATGGGGAGCAAGCCAGTAAGTTGCTCCCTTCCATGGCCTCTGCATCAGCTCCTGTCTCCAGGATCCTGCCCTGTTTGAGTTCCTGTCCCGACTTCCTTCAGTGAGGAACAGCAATGCTGAAGTGTAAGCCAAATAAACCCTTTCCTCCCCAACTTGCTTTTGGTCCTGGTGTTTTGTCACAGCAATAGGAACCCTAACAAAGACAGCGGCTGTCCCTCTCCAATTGCCAATCTTCCCCAAACCCAGCCAGAGTTGTTCCTGTCAGGACTGCGCACATCATGTATGGCTGTGTGAAGTAAAAGTCAGGAGTTGCCCGAGGATGGGTCTGTCTTCACAGTGCCAGGAGGTATAGTGATAAAGGATCAAAGAACTTTTCTTGAATGAATTAAGATTATCCTCTCTGTAGGAGTTTTTACTCTTCAAAAAACCCAGCCCAGCAGACAACACTGTGATCCTGTTTGGAGAAGACTGCAAGGCTCTGTGGTGTGTGGAGAAGACTGCAAGGCTCTGTGTTACAGACCCTGCAGGAAGAGATTATCTGTATTTTTAATAATTCCTACTTGTCGAAGAATACAACACATTGTTTAGAGTTTCCAATAATACATTTCCACCAAGTCACAGGAGAGACACATCTGATCCTTCCAAAGTCATGTGATGCTCCTCCAACATGGGCCACTAAAGCTCTGCATTAAAATCCGCAGGCTTCTGATGGAGTTTAATCACTCAGTACAGGGAGAAAGGTTGGCCAGTAGTTAGTGCGGTTCATTTGACCTCACACAGAACTAGAACACAGTACCCCTGAAAATGCACTATTTAAACTTCTCCGTGGTCCTCGTTCTATCTTAGACACCATCCTTATTCCCAAGAGATTAACAAAGTACAGGTATGTATTATCTTTATTCATTCATAGAAACAATGTTGGAAACCATGAAATCTTGTTAATGCTATGCTGATGCAAACTTTAGTACACACAGATGAAAATTTGGTGAAATGATGAAATGCCCAGGTGTCCCTAACAAGCTGGAGAACACATGGACGTTTAATATAAGCGATGTCTTGTCCATAGGCTCACAGGACATGGGATTCAACTGATCTTCCCTGTAGTTTTCCCTGGCTCCACCACTGAGCCAGCTTGCATTTGCCCCTGAGTCCTAAGCCTATGCAAAATCCTCCTAAAGCTTAGATGTGGACAACGGTTTCTGGGTCCCTTCGACTCCAGCCTTTGAGTTTTTCTCTATGTGTCTAAATGATCATGGAGAAAGGGAGTTTTTACACAACAAATCTTTTCCTTTCATTAAAAACATGCTTTACCACCTGTGGTGGTTTGAAGGAAATAGCCCCCAAAAGGGAGTCGTTAGGAGGTATGGCTTTCTTGGAGTAGGAGTGGTCTTGTTGGAGGAAGTGTGTCATTGTGAAGGCAGGCTTTGAGGTCTCATCAAGATACTGCCCAGTGTCTCAGACCACTTCCTGTTTCCTGTGAGTCAAGATGTACGAACTCTCAGCTCCTTCTCCAGCACCGTGCCTGCCTGCATGGCCACCATATTGCACCCTGACAATAATGGACTGAACCTCTGAATTGTAAGCAAGCTACCCCAATTAAATGTTGTCCTTTAAATGAGTTACCCTGGCCATGGTGTCTCTTCACAGCAATAGAAACCCCTAACTAAGTCAGCAACTCAGAAGCTCATAGAGATTTGTTTTGTTTTGGTTTTGGTTTTGGTTTTTCCAGACAGGGTTTCTCTGTGTAGCTTTGCGCCTTTCCTGGAACTCCCTCTGTAGACCAGGCTGGCCTCGAACTCACAAAGATCTGCCTGCCTCTGCCTCCCGAGTGCTGGGATTAAAGTCGTGTGCCACCATTGCCCGGCGAGATATTTTTAATACCTTTAAAAAAGATGTCTTTCCTTTTATGGTATGTGTATGGGTGTTTTGCCTGCTTGTCTGTGTACCACCTTCATGCAGTGCCTGCAGAAGTCAGAAGAGGGCATCCGATTCTCTGGAACGAGTTACTGAGGGCTGTAAGCTCCATGGTGGTGCTGGGCACTGAATCTGGGCCCTCTGTAGAGCAATGATTGCCATCTCTCACACTGATTTCATTATACAAAAACTGCAATGTGTTGTTCATCTGCCAGCAAGATGTGCCGATTTGAGAGCAGAGAAAAGGGGAACATGTCCCACATGAGCTGACCTTCCCCTCCATGTTCCCCATCACCACCACTGAGCCAGCTTGCATTTGCCTCTGAGTCCAAACGCTGACCATGCTGGGAGCTCAATCATTTCCTTCTCAGGTAAGAAGGAAGGGTACAGTTTTCTAAACACACAAAAGGGCAGAATTAAACCCCTGGACTCCCCTCACTATTACCCTAAGGTCCCTAATTTCCAATTTGTCCTTCATATTCAAGATGATTTTCTATTCACCATTTTTTCCTGATTCAGCCTCACACCAGAGAGAAACCACTTTAAAATGTCAACAGCAATACGATTTTTCATTTACTGAAAAATGCTTTTGTTTGAGTTTTGAGGTGAAGTCTGATTCTAGATAGTTGTTTGTTTTTAGGGACCGGGTCTCACTAAGCTTCTGGTTGGCCTATGCAAGCTGGACTTGAACTCACAGAGATCTGCCTGCCCCTGCCTCCCAAGTGCTGGGATTAAAGGTGTGCGCCACTATACCTGGCCAGATTCTAGAGAAATTTTGTTTTCACATCTTGTTTTACTCCCATTAGGAAAACCAGGTAAAAATATTTAAATTATATTAATGTGGTGGTTTGAAAGAAAATGGCCCCCATAGGCTCATAGAAAGTGGCACTATTAGGAGGTGTGGTCTTGTTGGAGTAGGTGTGGCTTTGTTGGAGGAAGTGTATGACTAGGGGGTGGGCTTAAATGGTCAAGCTATGTCTAGTGACATTCATTCATTTCCTGTTGCCCACCAGCTCCTTCTAAAGCACCACGTCTGCCTGCATACCACCATATCCCACCGTGAGAATAACAGACTAAACCTCTGAAACTGTAAGTCACCACCTCAATTAAATGTTGTCCTTTATAAGAGTTTCTGTGACCATGGTGTCTCTTCACAGCAATAGAAACCCTAAGACAATGAAAAAAGAAACTGTTGGTGACATATTTGAAAAGCATGCATCTCTTAACTTATATTAAGACCGTCTCCTTAAATATTTTTCTGGATATATAAAATAAAGTTGTGTACTACAAAACCTCCTTTGTCAACTTCTTCCAAACCATGTTTAGTCAAGGAACGCGTGCATCAGCTTCTGCATGTGGGGATGGGTCCAGGTCAACGCCTTTAAGGTACTTGAGATAGAAAGTTGGGGGTTTGGCTACCTTGGCCTTGATTTCGGTGTCTGCGTTGAAAGCCAGGAGTTTGGAAGCTATGGTGAGGTTGTTGTTGTAGACCGCGTAGTGCAGAGCCGAGTTTTGATAGGCGTCGACGGCGTTGGAGTCAGCGCCGTTGTCCAGGAGAATCTTGACACATTCCTCATGCTGGCGCTGGGTTGCCTGCAGGATTGTCCCAAGGGAACAGACTGTCAAAGGAATTCGAGAACCTTCCCCACAAGTTTCACCAAATAGTTACACTTCAGTGCCAGAACATCATTTTTATTCGAGTTTTTTTTTTTTTAAATTGAGACTGTGCTTTCTCATATATCCCAGGTGTAATGAAATTTGCATGTCCCGGGCTTGTGGGGCGTCATAGCCCTCATGCCTCTGCCTCCAGTAAGGCAGGATGCAGATCCCATGTCTGTGATGGGGTGCAGGCCTCCCACACCAGAAGGTCCGGGAGTTAGACTCCTCCGTCCACTGCTGGACCTGTTGGCTCCTAATTACCTTGATCAGAGCTGTGCTGTCCTCACAGTCTCGGGCTTCGATGTTGCAGTCGTACCACAGCAAGAGGGACACCATTTCTGACTGGCCATGAGCACAGGCGTAGTGCAGAGCAGTCCTGTGAGAGAGAGCAGGCCAGAGAGCTGCTGTGCAGCGGTACAACGAGGGAGCCGTGCAGGGAGGGAGCTGTGCAGGGACTACACCCACTGCTCCTCTGAAGTAGAGTAGCCTACTGGAATGTCTTCCTTTCTACTTAGCTGGAGGCGAATTTCCAAATGGTCTTATTAAATAAAAAGCATGGAGCCAAATATAGGGGTGACAGCCTAGAGAGATCAGGGAAATTGGCAAAGCTACCAGGCAACCTCACCTCACCAATTCTGCTTCCAAAGAGAGCGACTTCCTGTCTACCCCCCCACCCACACACACACATGCCTCACTATTCTGCCATCTGATTTGCTCTCTATCTAGTACATCACTTCCTCTTCCTGGTCAGCTCTGTCACTTCCTGTCTGTACAGGCCTCCAGACCTCTATGGTTGGTACTGGGATTAAAGGCATGTGTCACCACGTTTGGCTCTGTTCCCTGGTGTGGCCTTGAACTCACGGAGATCCTGCCTGCTAAGTGTTAGGATTAAGAGCATGTGCTACCGCAGCCTGACTTCTTTGTTTACTTAAAATGGCTTCTTGCTATTTCCTCTGATCTCCAGTCAAACTTTATGTATTAAAGCACAAGTCAAGTATCACCACATTTCAGCACAAATAAAATATCACCACACTTAGCAGTGCTAGGAACAGAGCGCACAGTCAAACCTGGATGTGGTGGTATTTTGTTTGTGCTCTAACACATAAACCTTGCCTGGAGATCAGAATGTGGAACTAGGCACAAGTTAACCATAGAGGCCAGGCCGTGGTGGCTCAGCCTTTAACCCCAGCACTTTAATCCCAGGGAGGAGGAAACAGGAAGTGATATGGCTGGGCCGAGAGAGGAATATAAGGCAGGCAGAGACAGGAGCCCCGCCCCTTTCAGGCTGATTTGCTGGCATGGTAAGAAGTGGCCGTGGCTTGCTCCTTTGTCTCTCTGGCCTTTCAGCATTGATCCCAATATCTGGCTCCGGGTTTTTATGAAGACCAGTTAGGATTTGTGCTACACCTCGATGATCTCAAAGGGGATGACACTGTGACAGAGACAATGAACGATGCTTCCCTAGGGAGATTTGGAATCTGTTGTTGACTGAGGTCTGCCCGAAGCAGGGGCCACACTGGGAAGCACCATGGCTTTGATGGTCTCAAAGATGAGAGAGCCTCCAGTGAACCATCTGTCAATCAAACTACACCGCTTGGGGCGGAAGAAGTCATTGCTGAGTCGGCATGTGGTAAGTGAAGAGAGCCACCCTGAATAACCGACGGCGAAGAAAACCACGGAGCTATCTTCACCCTTCAGCTTCTACGTAAGGTCCCTCAGGAAAGAGCATGTATTCCTTGGTTCGCGTGAAATAAAATGAACATGGGATTTCACTGAATGAATTTTTGCCCTGGGACCCATAGCATTTTTTTTTTCATGTGCACCTTGAAAGAAAACGCTGTGTGCCTCAACTTTGTGGGTTAAATCACATTTAAATTGCCAATAAAGTGCTCTGAAAGCAGAATTATATGGGGGTTGGGAACCAACTAAGGTTTAGTTTTTGCTTTGTGTCTCATGAAGAACGCCTAGGCTCCACCCATCCAGGTGTGCAGGTTTGAGGTGCGGAGGAGTCTGGTGGAAAGCCCAGCATCCCTGTGAGAGCGGGCCTCGGCCTCCCTTCTCCATCCCCCTGAGGCCAAGCCCAGGAAGGTGGTGTTTCATCTCCTCAGGCTCTGCTGCCTGCCATTCACTCACCCCTGCTCCAGGCCACCCCCACCCCGTGCCCTCTGACCTCTTCTTCCGGTCTGTAATGTTCACGTCAACATGCCCAAATTCGAGCATCCTCTGCACTTCGGTTATATCCCCGACGCTTGCAGCTTTGTGGATCTTCTTCATAGGCATGTACCCAGTGAGGTACCTGGGTGGTTCTTGGTTCTCAGCGCTGACATGCCTAAAGCTAAGGAAGCCCCAAGGCGAATGGCCCTTGAAGATCTTCTTCATGGCTCAGACTATGGCCCTTCACATTAGATTCTTGTTTATATTGCTTTACTCCTTCCCATTAACAGCCTCTGTGCTCACAGTAACCGAGTTCCTCCGGGTCCCAATCTTAACCGTCAGTCCCAATGCAGAGCCAACCAAGCCTGGGAATCTCGCCAGGCTGCGCCCACAGAGAAGCCCCAAGGTTTAACATCCCTCCACCTCTTAGGCAGTTGGCAGGACTGTCGTTGCCCAGCAACGCCATGTGCGCATGCTCCAGAGGGGACCCCCGGGCGCCAATCACCTCGGGCAACCAACAAACAGTGCTCAGCGTCCATGTCAGGCTCGTGAACTACTGGGTCTTCAAGCGTCAAACGTGTCCACCACCAGGAGGAGGATCCAGATGCTATGTCTGCTCAATGCCTGTCTCGCAGTCTTGGAATGTAACACCCTTAGAACGGATCTTCAGGCTGCTGAAGACTAGTCTCCAAGATACCCTTCCTCAGAATTCTAATGTTGAGTGCCCAGGATCTTGAGTGCCCAGCCAGCCTGGGTGACATAGGGAGATCCTTTCTCAACAAGCGAACAAATCCTCTCAGAATTTCTGTACAGGCTGTTTATGCCTCCCCATGCCCACCAGCAGTTGCAACTACAAAACGCTGCTTTGGTGATTTCATAGATAGTGACGGCATGTGTCATCGAGTGTAAGCCGATGTGGAGGAAACTTCACACTCTCCCGATAAAATGAAGACATACTTCTGCTGCCTCCTACCTCGCTCACTAGGCACCCCGGGAGTAAGGTCTCTGTGCTCATTTTTTCCCTTTAAATCTGCAGGCTTTATTTGCATCATAGAGTCATATTTAAGAACTTTACTTCCTGACTGACTGTCCCAGAAATGTCTTTCCTAATTATGTTAGAATGCCACTTTAAGTAGCTGCGCCCTGCTGTCTCAGTTCTACTTCTCGCCTCTCTGCCTCCTCTTCTGTAAACATGGCTGCTCAGATGGAAAGGTATCTTGGCAGTTGGGAGCCAAGGCATACCACAAAGTCACCATAAGCATAGCAGTTTAGAGTTCTACTCCAGGAAAAGGTTTCCCCAATGTAACAATTCCGCTCCCGCAGGAGGGTTTCCCCAGAGAAAGTATTACAGTTCGGCTCAGGTCCCCGGATTGTAATAACTGCTCCTGCAGCGGAAGGTTTCCCCCGAGAAAGTGATACAGTTCTGCTCCAAATCTTCTCGGCTCAGACTCCGGCAAAAAATCGTTATTTCTCTGCTCCACTCCACTCCAGCAAAAGAAGGAAGGTCTCACCCAAACCTCACTCAAGAGATTTATAAGGAGAGAAGAATCCAGGATGGCGGCTGCCTCTGCCACGGTGGAAAAAGGTCACAGCAAACTGAACAGGCACAGGGCTTCCAGAGGGCTTCTTAGGGGCAGAGTTTTTCAAGGGCGAAGCTTTTCGGGGTGGGAATTGGTCAGATTTCAATCCCTGAGCTTGGACAAGCCCAGAGATTGGCTGGATTTCGTGCTCAGGGATTGGTTGGTTTTTGTGCTGAGTTGGTCAGGGGCAGAGTGTGCTTCTTTGGCTCTGGTTTTAGGGCCAAAGTGTGTTTCTTTCACTGGCCTATTTTTTTTTTTTTTTAACTTTTTGGCTCTGGTTTCAGGGCCAGTGAACTGGCTCTGGTCTCAGGGTCGAGGTGTTTTCTTTGGCTCTGGTCTCAGGGTCAGGGTGTGTTTCCTTGGCTCTGGTCTCAGGGTCAGGGTGTGTTTCCTTGACTGGCCCTTTTACCCTACATCTTCCTCTTTCTCCATGTTCTCTTCCTTCTTTCTCTTCTTCCTTCTCCTCTCTTCTCCCTCCTCTTCCTCTTCATCTTCATCCTTTTCTCTACTTCCTCCACCTCTTTTTCTCCTCCTCCTCTTCATCCACTTCCTCCCCCTTGTCCTCTTGTTCCTATACTTTCTCTCTGGCCACCACACACCAACTTTTCATGTAAGCCTATCAGTAGCAGTTTCCAGCCAGGATTTGACTGAATCTCTAATTCTCTGCGTAAGCCTCTTTAGGCACATGGTGGCCAGGACCCTCCCCTGGGGACCTCCAACTGCCAGGTTCCACCCATAGACCATTCTAACAGCCCTGAGGGCTGGACCCAGCCCCAACCCTACAGAGAAAATGCCCAAGCTCTGGACTTGAAATTCCACCAATCCCCATCCTGGAAAGCTTCACCCTGGAAAGCTCTGCCCCTGCCCCACCCCCACCCCCACCCCCAGGGAAGCGATATAACCCTCTCTTCTGTTCTGTTTGTGCTGTTTCTCGCCTGAGCAGAGGCAGCCACCCTCCTGGTTTTTTTCCCTTCCAATAAATCTTTTGTGTGAGGTTTGTTGTGCAGTGTGACTTTGTGGTATTCCGTGGCTCCCAACTTCTGGGATACCTTTCCATCCGAGCTGTAACATTTACACTCTGTGCTGGTTCTTTGGCCAGTGTCTTCTCCACACCCTTTATTCCTTACTTTGTGTATATCTTCTGTTTCCACATCTCCCTGCAAGGTCCTGTTGTCTGCCTGGGCCCTGTCTCACACTTCCCAGGTGTCATCAGCTATGGAAACCGAACCCCAGTACACTGCTTCCCCTCGCCCCAATCCTTAATGACCATGCAACCCTTTGCTGACCATCTAACCCTTGCCAAAAGAAACCCAGCAGTGCCCAGGAGGACAAAGCAGAGTGTAACACACACCCAGCTCTGCATCCATCCTGCCACACAAAGAAATATCCAAGAGATGAGCAATGGAGGGATAGCCTACATTAACACTGTGAAAGAGGCCCAGCCTCAGAGGAAGAGGTCCAGACCCTGCCATTAGCCCCCTCCTTGTGAGAAGTAAGTGTACCACTGGGTGAAGGAGCATTCACAGCCTGAGCATCATGGCCATTTCAAGAAGGCCAAAGGATCCAAGTATAGACATTGACAGTATCTCCAGAAAGTCTCAACCACAGCTTCCTCCTTCCAGAAGACTGTAGTCTGAGATGGCTCCCAATCAGAGACTCCCCTATCTAACGAGTCTACCTAACCTCCTTGTTCAGCTACTTATAATAAACATTCTGAGTGTCTTTGTTTGTTTGTTTGTTTGTTTGTTTTTCGAGACAGGGTTTCTCTGTGTAGTTTTGGTGCCTGTCCTGGATCTCCCTCTGTAGACTAGGCTGGCCTCAAACTTGCAGAGATCCACCTGGCTCTGCCTCCCGAGTGCTGGGATTAACGGTGTGCACCACTGCCACCACCGGCAGTGCTGAGTGTCTCAGTCTTGCCTGGCTCTTATAATCTTTCCTCCTCTTCTTCCACATAGATCTCTGAGCCCTGAGGGGAGGGGTTTGATGAAGACTGAGCACTCCAAAGTTTCCTACTCTCTACACATTGTCCAGTTGTGGGTCTCTGTGTTAACTGCTTCATACTTCTCTGATGAAGGCTAAGGAGGCACTGATTCTCTGTCAGATGTGCAAAGAAAGTGCTTGCTGCTCTTGCACAGGACTGGAATCCAGTCCCCAGCACCCATGTTGGACCGCTCACAAGCACCTGTAATTCCAGCTCCAGAGGATCCAATGCCTTCCTCTGGTTACACAGGAGCCCATACATGTACACTTTGACACACACCAACATATACCTACACAGCCAAAAATTAAAAATAAATAAAGTATACTGAACATGAAAAATAACATGTAAAGGTTGAAGTTCTGCTTTTAGACCAACTGCTTCCTCCAGAGAACTAGATCACCCCATTTCTAGCAGAGAGCCCCCATGGTCCAAGTGTAGCTCCGCCCTGCAGATTCATCGTTCTTTGCTCATAATTTTTATCTGAAAAAGGAAATGAAAAGTAATAAAATATCCCTCTTTGCCAAAAGCTGGGGCTCATAGGAAAATGCATTCCAAATGTGCAGGTGGGTTCTGTGATTGCAGGATTCTGTCTACATGAAGACATTGGTTGCTGTAGTAAAGTAACATTCTTCAGGTAGTAAGTAATAATTGACTTGTGCGAGTATTATTGTCTTAATTTGCTTTCTAATATTATAATAAAGACCATGACCAAAGCAACTTGGGGAGGGAAGGGTTTATTTTGGCTTCTGTGTCTTGATCTGTCACTGAAGGAGGCCAACTCGGAAACTCAAACAAGACACGAACCTGGAGACAGAAACTGAAGACCATGAAGCGCTGCGTGCTGGCCTGCTTAGTTTTTCCCTTTTTGTTTTTGTTTTTGCTTTCTTTAGCAAGGTCTCTCTATGTAGTCCTGACCGTTCTAGAACTTGCTAGGGTAGATACTAGGCTGGCCTCTGCCTTCCCAACGATGGGATTAAAGACGTACAACACCACACCTGGGAGTTTGCTTTCCTATAAAACCCAGGACCTCTTACCCAGGGGTGTCAACACCCACAGTGGGCTCTTCCATATTAATCATTAGTCAAGAAAATATTCTACAGGCTTGCCTATAGGCTACTCTTATGGAGGGATTTTCTTAGTTCCCTCTTTCAGATGACTCTAGCTTGTATCAGGTTGGCATAAAGCTAGCCAGCACAGCTTTCCAAGTGAATAGGCAAATATCTGAGGGTCTTGGTTACTGTTCTATTGTTGTGAAGAGACACCATGACCAAGGAAATTTTTCTAAAAGAAAGCTTTTGGGGGGGAGGGGTGGCTTGCTTACAGCTTCAGAGGGTTAATCCATGATCATCATGGTGGGAAGCAGACAGACATGGCACTGGAGCTTTACTTCCTGATTTGCAGGCAGCAGGCAGGGAAGAGACACTGGGTCTGATGTGGGCTTTTGAAACCTGGAAGCCCACCCCCAATGACACACCTATTCCAACAAGGCCACAACTAACAAGGCCACACCTCCTAATCCTTCCCACACCATCCCACTCACTGGCGACTAAGCACGCAAATGCAGGAGCCTATGGAGGTCATTCTCATTCAAACCATTCAACTCTCTGACCCCCATTCTTTAAACTTTTTTGTTTCCTTGAGCACAAGACTTGGCTTCAACATTACATTTCTCTGTAGAAGTAACCATCTTATTAAATAAGAAACACAGAGCCAATGTAAAGGTAAAAGCCCAAGAGGTCAGAGCTAAGAGCCTTACCCTTCCTGCTTCAGGGATCCTCTTCAGCCAAGAGAGACCTACTTCCTGTGTGTTTGTCTTTATATAGACTTTCTGTTCTGCCTTCTCATTGGTTATAAACCCAACCACATGACCGCCTCGTCACTGCCTGTCTGTACAGACCTCCAGGTCTTCTATGGTTGGTATTGAGATTAAAGGCGTGTGTCTCCAATGCTGGCTATATCCTTGACCACACAGAGATCTACCTAGCTCTGCCTATCAAGTGCTGGGATTAAAGGTGTGCACCACCAATGCCCAGCTTTTGCTATGGCTCTAATAGCTCTGACCCCCAGGCAACTTTATTTATTAACATACAAATAAAATCACATTTCAGTACAAATAAAATATCACCATATTTCCCCTTTTCTATTTTAATAAAAATAAAAAAGGAAAAAGGTTATAACTAACATAAGCAAAACTATATACAAAAGTACAATAACTATATACAATATACACAAGTAAAAAATACCTAAACAATGTCTAGTCCATTTGTATTTGACAAATTCAGAGAAAATAATTCCATTATCTATCCTATTTTGGTAAGTCCAAAATGTACCTAATTCACTTTCTATCTAACTAGTCTTCAACTATAACTAACTAATCTTCAGCTATAACTAACTAATCTTCAACTCCCTCAGAGACCCAAAAAGGAAATAATATTACCTAACAAAAAATAAAAACAGGAAGTGCATGCAAGCAACTTCCAAAAAATTTGTGAGTTGACAGAAACAGCCAGCTGCCTGGACAGTCACCTGAGGTTTCTCTGCAGTGTTGGGGCATCATCTTCAGCCTACAGGCTTAGCATATCTGACAGATTCATTTGTGAAGTAGGATGTACACAAGGTCAACACATTGGGTGAGAGCAATCCATGTATCAGAAACACCTGAATTCCACTAGTGTCATGTCATGATTCAGGATTTTAAATTCCGGAAATTGTTGATGTTTTTTGAATTCAGCTGTCCATTCTTCTTGGCGATGTGTGTGTGTAGCTTCATCTCAGCATCCCCTTCTCCACATCCCTCTATTAAATGCCAGTCTACTATTGAGAGGCATGAGCTTAGTTACTCTTCAAGAATAACTGTTTCAGCTGCTGTTCCATTGCACATCAGAAGCCATGGGCCCACTGCCTGTTCAGCTGCCTTCAAAGAAAAGGGCACTGTACCTTTTCCGGATTGCGAAGGCCACTTCAGGGATGGTGCCATATTGTCCTGGCTTCAGAAGATGCCTTTTGATAAAGCCATGACAACACTTGTTTTGGCAAGAATCAGTAGTCCTTTGTTTC